ATTATGTGCAAACACAGACATATGGACGGAGCTATTGCTGAAATCTGCAAGTTATGTTTCCTTTTGTTATAGGAGTAATTTAGTTAGCTAGTTCGGTAACAATAGTTAGTTTTTTCACTATCTTTATTTTATTATTAATACTTCCTTTGTAAATATATCTACTCTTCAGAAATTGGAGGCACTGACTGACTGACTGACTGATTCGTGTGAATTTTCCCCACCATCACAATACTGAAACACGACTTGATGACACGATTAAGGATTCTGAAATAAAACTTGATAACTATAGTCTATACTATATAATTCACGCATTTTGATTTGATCCTGCAGGGCCGCAACATATACATCAAGTAGTTTGTCTTGTTTGAGATTATTAACTGCCGATGATAAAGCATCGAATGTTGCCGTTGTTGTTGCCACAAACTACTCCATTTTAATTCTGAAATCATCTTGTGTAGAATCCCTTGACTGAGTGCTTTCTACATCCAGACCCAGGGGATTTATAAGATCAAACGTATGCAAATCACCGTCATATTCAGGCGGACTTGAGTTCGCTTTTGATTCCTTCCTATTTTTAACGATTGAGATTAGCTTTTCCTTTGCTTCGTTTGATTTTTCCCCTTTAATTTTAATACGCACAGGGTGTATCAAAAAACCTGCAAACCCTTTAAAATACAGGGTGTCCCAAAAAAATGAAAACTATTGAAATCGCCAATAACAATTTAATTGTTAGAATTTGAATGCCTAAGCACTCTATTGGTTCCCACGAGTGCATAAATGATTGACATAAGTAAATTTTATGCATACAGAAACTATTTAAGAAGCTGCTTTAAATTCCCAAGAGTAGAAAATCGCGCACTTTACAGGAAATGTTCTTAACTAAATTTTAATACATGCACCTTGTCAATATTTTACGCATCATTCGCAGTCATAGCCATACACCGTCATGGAGGACGGACATGAAATTTTGAGCTCCGCTCGTTTAAGAGGAAATAGCCGACTTTTGGCAGAAACTCTGTCACAGTTAGGTTCTGACGATTGGGGAAATATATCAGATATATCATTAGTTGAAAACGTGGCTAACGAAGGGCAAAACAGCGACGAGGATTGCGAAATCTTAAAATTTATCGAAGACACCGAGAGAGACATTGCAGCAAAGTCGACTCAGTATGTGAAGGGTATATTAACAAGAGACAAAACAGCGAACCTTTATAAAAGAAGGGAGAATATCTTGGACTACTGTAAAAGTAAGATTATAGAGTGTCCAAAAGAGAAACTGGTAAGACGATTAAATAGAACTGGCGGCCGTCTGCGAACGAAAAGCTTGCATGTGATATTATAGCCTTGGTTAATTTCTACTCTTCAAGGGAAATTACCGCAGAGTTTAACGATATGTTTAGAAAACCCCTTTGTGATAATACACAGGATATTCTAAAATCATTAGATAAAGAAGAGACAAAGCAGCTTATGACATTTATCGAAAATTTTGATGTTAAGGTTAGTGAACTAAGGGAGGACTTTGATCAAACTGTCTCACAGTTTAAAACTGAAATTTCCGATTTAAAGGCTAACCTATGCGAGAAACAAGCAAAAATTCGATCCCTCGAGTCTGAACTTGCATCATTTCGAGGTAATTATAAAGCGAACCTTGAAGAGACGAGGGGAAAATTGGAAAATTATGAAATGAAACTTGTCGGGCAAGCTGAGAACGTTATTAAACTTGAGCAAAAAAATGATAAAATATGCAAAGATCTAGAACGTATTAAAAAACAACAAAGCAAACGCATCGAGGTAATCGATGCGGAACGTTCAGAGGGGAGTTTAGACATATTGTACTCGAGCGCAGTTAAGTCTACAGAGGCTAATGCATCAAAAGATCAAACAGTCAGTGATATAATTTGC